TTTAGATTGGTTTGGTAGAGCAGGAATTGAACCTATGTTGAATTTTACCGAGCAGTGTCTCTCTGTAGGTCAGCAGTAAGTTTACACACATTAGAATCTGGGGCGTGACTTCCCGCCGTGAGCAAATTTTTGTTTGTTTGTTTGAAGTTTAGCACAAAGCTACACAACGGGCTACATCACGGGTATCGAAACCCGGTGTCTAACGTTGTAAGTCCGCAGACATACCGCAGAAAACAAATAGCCTATTGTGTAGCTTTTTGCTAAATAAATAAACAAAAAATAAACTCAACGAACAGCATCTGTGGTGGGCTACATTTTGTTGTCTATGTAATGAAGGTCCCGCTAAAAAAAGTTTTAAAATGTTCAGCCTCCTTTTATAGTTGCCCACCAGTAGCACAGCGGGATGTCTGCAGACAAACCCTTTATAGTTAATTTTAAGTTAAATCTGGTATCATTCTCATTGTTCGTTTTTCACTTTTTCTACAAATTGATATCCTATCTTTAATACAGGGCCATAATTGTGGTATAATTAAAAAAATATAAATTCTAATAACAACGAATGTTTTGTTTAAGTTGTTAATTCTAATGAAACTCATTAAATAAACAAAAAAGCCTGATTTGTTCATTACTGACAACACCAGATGAAAAATTTTAAAATAATTCAATTAATGGTACAATTCGCGTGACATTACATTTATTTGTTAATTGTTTGTTATTAAGCACAAAGTTACACAATGAGCTATCTATGCTGCGCCCATCACGGGTATTGAAATCCGTTTTTGACGTTATGTGAGATGTAGGCATATCATATATTTTCTACCTGCTTTAATGATATAGGAATTTTTAAAATTTTCGTTTGATTTGTATGCAGAGTTAGCATAAACAAGTGATCCAGAAAATCAGTGAGATTACCTTGTTCTAATTGCTTTGTTCTCTATAGTAGGTAAATGTAATGCCTATTTTTCCCGATAGTATAGTTCAGCAACATATAGCATCCGGGTTGAAAGGATTAGCGACTGTAACATACTTTGCTAGCCGACATGACGTTGTCCGTATGTTACAGCTGGTCAATACTATGATAGAACAAAGGTCACAAGATGATGCTTTTACTATACAAACAAACCGAGCTTATCTATTCAATTCAAACGCGTTTTCATGGTTAATTTCTCTTAAGAAATCGTTCACTAAAGACGTACTTCAAGATTATCTTGTTCAGTTCAATAGATGTTGATCTCGAAAGAGTGAAAGATTTAGAGATAAACATACTGTAGTAGGAATTACTTTTTTCTTTTGTTTGTTTTGCGTGTGTGCAAGTATACAAACTACTTTTTTTTGTATATTTTATAATAAAGATTGTATCTATTTTAACAGATTTATCTTTTCTCGTTATTTCACACCCAACAGGAAAACTCAGTTATCAAATTTATAATTACTCTCCTTGTTTCCTGAGCAAATCTGCTCTTAGTAGCGGGTCTATCTATCCGACACTTTGGAATTTAGTTTTTAACTAAAAATACTAGAGTTATAATGCGTATGACTTAAGTCGAATTCAAAGAATATATATATATAAATTTGGGTAAGCTTGAGACAAGTATTCTTCGTCACTTATGTATATATTTTATTTTAATTTAACGTTATGTCATTACATTGTTGTATCAGTAATTATTAAGCAAATCATGTGCAGCTTAAAATTCACAACTGTGACAATTTTACCTTTTTTAATATTTAGCTTATATATATTAGTAAGTTGAGCATTTATTTCTACGAATTACAGGTGTCATCAATGCTTCTTTAAAATCCAGATTTGAAAAACTTCAGGTTATTACTATTAGGATTTCTTGTAATAAAACGATAGTATTTCATAAGTTAGATGGCGGTTTCTGTACGAAGTTACGAAACATGTCACCTTTTAAAATACAGTTAACTTAGGTATGCATTATATATTATTAATATTATATACTTTTCTTATTAGTGAATTTAATGATAAAAGAAGATATACAGCTGTTAAGAGACACGAAATAAAGGTGTATCATTAGTCTAGTTCTATGCTTAACTTTTATTTCGTCTAGGCCTAATGTCATGAGCTATAGTAATATTCTAAAGATTAAATTAGACTTAGAGGAAAATAAAGCTCTTAGTTAAATCACATTATATATCATACTAAAATTATTAAATAAAATTACTAAATTTTATTGTTAGTTAAATTTCATAAGTTATTTTATAAATAAAAGGTAAAGCCACTGATTTGTTAAAATATTGCAATTAATGAATTATGTGATATGTAGTAGTATTACTAGTAATACTAACTCAAGTTTAAAGAGTAGACCTACCACAAAAACTAAAGCCTGTCAAGTGAAGTTTATCATAAATGTAATTTATTATTACAAGGGCAGTTTGTCCGAAACCATAGTTTTGTTAATATGATATAATTCACCATATAACATTACAAAGAAATTCAGAAGTTTTAACGAGAACGATGTCACATGCGCACATGGGTTAACAGCTCAAGAGGATCTTAAGATTTATATATAGGCCGTATACAATCCCAATTTTGAAATATTGACCACAGGGAGGGAAGCTAGCCATCAGTACCCGCTAACACAGCTTTGTCGGACTTAAAACAAATAACGGAATTGATAGTGACGGTTACTTTTAAACTAAAAGTAAGGAAAATTTGTGTTTTTTTTGCGAAATATTTATTTTGGTACTATTTCAAAACTTTCATGGTGTGATCATTTTGACCCAGAAGTCAACTTATTTAAAGATAATTCAACATAATTGGCCATCAGCGCTCTGTCCGCCGCGTAGCATCGAACCCCGTATTGTAGCGCTATAATTTCGTAAACTAACCGCTAATCCATCAGGGGATCGACAAACATTAGACGGCTATTGACTTGTGCGCTACACAAGCATACCACGTATTTTCTACCTCATTATTTTAATACAGAATTATTCGAAAATTGTAAGTTATTCTGGTGTTTGCAGTTTTCACATGACATGTGATCAATAAAGTTTTTAATTTGCTTTCTTTCTAACTGCCTGTGTTCTTTGCCACACTCTACTGTGAAAGGATGTCAATAGAAGTGTTTTCCAGTGGTAAGTCAGGTGACGTCTCGAGGATATAACCTCTATAATATTCCACTGGGATTACCCAACAGTGTTATAGTTGGCACTCGCGTCCTCAGAACATAGCACTATAGAATTTGGTGTGTTGCGTATCTGCTTGTTTGTTAAATTCCCTTAGAAATTACTTCCGAGAAACTTCAGCGATACAAGTCCTTTCTTAATTAAAACTAGTTTATTCTTTCTCGATACAACTTTGCAATACACAGAATTTCTACAGTCACTTTAAACTTGTCTACTTTTGTGAACACACGCTATAAATCACGGTGATTCACACACTTTACTTACGGCTTGACCCGATTATCTCTATCTTCAATCTCTCTATCTATATCATTCCGCTTTATTTGCCGGGCTTATATACTAAAAAAGAGGGCGCCTGAAACAGACTAGAGTTGCCAGGAGAATTCAAGATCCTTCGAGAATCTCATGACGTGTTACCAGCGTCACTTGACTTCCGCCGTCGTAACAGGTATATAATACTTTGGTATCTTAATTACCTCTCTCTCATAAACACAAGCCTTCTTGTAACGTTTAACCTGTAATTTTATGATTCTTGGCCAATTATTAAGTCTTTATAAAATTGTTAGGAGAGCTGGATATCTATAATAAAGGTGCTGTCCTTCATTGTTTCTATTGTCTTTCAATTTAAATAAATATTTCTCTATACTACTTGTTTACATTGTGCCCAGTCATTCTTTCTCAAATATTGTCAAGGTCAGAGAGCTACGAATTACTATGCAATAAATATTTTGTTTCGCATTATTCTGTGAACTTATCCCGTTGCTCCTGGGGGTAATTAATTTCACCTGAAAATACTACACTTTATTAATCTAATCAATGGAAGTAGGAATTGTTAGGTTCTTCATCAGAATTGTTGTAGGCCTGTACCATCCTCTTACTTTAGTATAGTTGTTTGCAATCTAAGTGGCATATTATGTTCGCGAGTTAAAATTCCAAGTCAGAGATCCCTAAGGTTCAGTTATAGCTGTCCCTAAATTTTAATTACTGGACAGTGAAAGGCAACCAGCAGACATAAGAGCTTTCTTTGTCCAGCTTTGAACCGGACCACGCGATTGGTTATTACTTTTATAATACGGCCACAGCTGAAAACGCGGACTTATTTAGCGACATCACGACTCTAAACATAGACTTTTTGATACACAACCCGGCGTACTACTACTTTGCCTACCTACTTTTTGTCAGGTATTATGATTTTAAATCTTGATAGAAATGAATAAAAACCTATTACCCGAGCGTTTTCGAAAGATGGACCCCCCACCTTTCGAAAGTGCTAGAGTTATAGGGTTTTTATTCATTTCTATCAAGACTTCTTGAACCTACGTGTTTTTCTAATATCATGAATGATTTTAAATATTTCAAGCCTCAGAGACCTGAAAGACAATCAGGGGGGTTTAGCAACTGTTGTTTCTCTTCACCCCACTCGCGAGCTTAAGGTTTATTCATTAGGTGAACGATAGTGCAACCTAGCGACTGAGATGTTGAGATGTTCGAGTTGACGTAAACCAGGATGTAGGCCAAGGTTGTGACAGAAGCATCCAGTTCCAATGTTAATCGTATTCTATAAACGAAAAATGATACAATAGAATTTAACAATAAACTAAAAATTTTAAACTAGTTGAAAAATTCTTTAAACCACACTAAGTAGTGAAATATGCTTTTGTAATAAGAATGGATTACCTTATTGGGTTATGCTGAAAGTTGGACACTCATTTTTAAATTATGTTTCTCTTCCTGGTTCATTTTAATTTCGCGGAACGGTCCATTTCAGGACTGGGATCAAAGGATCCAAATATTACTTTGCCTTGCTTGCCCCTGTTTTTTTAAGCCGCTTTTCCGTCACACGCATGCGTATTATTGTCGCAGGGATGGGATTTAGTTTCACAACGCATCGCACATCAGATTTTTACTTGTTTTGCGAATTATTCTATAAAAAGAATTTTAATAAGCGTGGTGGCCACAGCACAAATAGCCCATCAATAAGGTATTTAGGTTTCCAAAGTCTGGAATTATGTTATTTATACTTGGGGCTGTTTTTCTAATCTGTAAACCAATCTGATCACATGAAATATATTACTTTTATAATCAGTTTTTGTTCTAAAGATCAGTTTACATTCGTAAACCTTTGTTATCAACTGTTACGTATGCCTATTTTATTACACATGCACAGAATTAAAAATGGTGACAGTACTGATAATTTAGGTCACATTTCATATCCAAAAAAATATATGCAACACATGTAAATGTACATGTAGCCTTTTGTGTTCAGTTATGGTAAAACTACAAATAATTCAAACTTTCAGTTTCAGAACTTATTATCATGCAAATTATTCCATAAGCTGAGAGGTAAATAATACAGAATAAGAAGTTTTAGACAAGGTTTCATCAAGTTATATTTAATACGTTATACGACAGTCGCTCCTTATGATATTCTACCCTTAACAGCGTAAGAAACATAACATTTAGGTTACATAGTTTCTTGGGTACACTATGTATACAAGTTCTTGGTGCCTACAATAATCTTATTTTGTTTATTTATTATTGGAGACCCTAATTTCAGTGTATAAACAATGAGTTATCTCTCCTTCACTATTATTTTGTTGTTGGTCAATAGAAATGAGTTGATCACACATTTTGTACGTATTGTATGTGGTTATTTTCCTTTGTACATATTTCATTACTTAGGAAACTTCTCAGACACTGAAAAGGCTAACCTACTTTTTTTTTCATTTGCATGTGTGTGTGTGTGTATTATACACGATTATTTTTCTTGTATATATATATATATATATATAT